GGATATTTCATTGACGGTTTTTTACTTTTTATTTATTCTTTAAAAATAATTTTACCACATCGACCACAGTACAATATTGATCTCACCAAGAATCGTCGAGTGTTGAACAAAAAACTAGACTTATGTCAAATAGATCTATTTATTTTTATTTGTTTTAACGGGTGTTCCAGAATAAATGGCAATTTCTTGCACCGCGAATAACTCCGTCATTTGTCATCCGATTTGGGTGATCGCTTTTTCATCATATTTACCATTCATTTCGCTACAAAATCATTGCTAGCCGAGTTTTGTAGAGTGAAAAATGACCGAGTTATTCGAAAAATACAAGGAATGATCAAAACTGGCAACTTTCCAAGCGAAAATAAGAAAGTGTTTTGAGTGCGTTTGGTTCACTCAGATTCATTTCTCAATCACAAAAAAGACATTCTCTAGTGCAGAACACTGTCCTCTTTCTGATGAGCTATTAAAAATTGAGTTTGAAAAACAAATTCATATCGAAATTCTGATTTTTCGTGAAATACTTGGAAACTACTATATGCTATGTTCTTGTGGTAATCCACCCCAAACAATAGGCAGCATCCTTTTTGTGATAAGGCTAACTGCCACATTAATTATTCAGGGTGTGGGTGTGAGGGTGAAGAGTAAAGCTAAACCCACACCCACATCCTTGTTCTTGTTAGTTTTTGTGAAATCAATGATAGATATTATTTAGAGTAAAATTCAAAATAAATAATAATTAGAAACATTTAAGTATTCCACTTTGGATGTTTTCACAATACTTGATAATATTTATTGTAATAGTTAAAAACTTCGTCTGTTTATATACAAATGGAAGTAAGATAATGTATATATTTGAAGGATGTTCTTGTATTTGATCGTCTTTTAAAGGCTGACTACTAATTTTATCATCAAAATTTACGAAATTACTGATTATCAATCCAATATTAGAGTCTATCAGTGCCGATTTTAGTGTATTTTCTCATTAATTTTGTATCTGATATAAATATGTGGACATAATGACAATTGAAATGAAATTTTTTTATTTATGTAATGAAGTATATAATATGACACTTTAGTTTTGATATATTTCGTTTTTTCTTTGTTAAAATATCATATTATCAAATAACAGTTCCATGTAAAGAAAAAACAATAATTAGACAATAATAAGAAGTAAGAAGAAAGCAAAGTTTATGGTATCCAATCATCATAGCGAAACAGCTTTCAATGCTCGTACTTCTTGTTATTTCACTAACAGACACAGGAGTACAACATAAAAAAGACAAATGAATATACTGAAAAATATTTAAAATGCTTTGTCTTAGAATAGAAATGTACTTATACTCTCCAAGTTCATGTTATTCTTTGACATATACATTTCAAACTATCGATCAACTATTATAACAGCGAATAGAATACCAATATCGAACCAATTGCAATAAGTAAATATATCATTGAAGTTCATGAATCACAGATTTTTCATGATGACCATGCATAATCCTAAACACAAGAATCTTTATATCATACAGGTTTAATTTTATATCTATTTATAATTCTTATTCTTTTAATTGTCTAGCAATATCTTTTACACATGAACCAAGAATATCAATTATAACATGTATAGGATCAATTAGCCTAGCTTGAAATGATTCAAGTAGTGATAAATAATAGCATAAACTATCTAAATTAATAAAATAATTTCTAAAAATTTTTGTTGAGAAAATTTGTGATATGAAATAAAAATTTGCAACAAGTGCTGATTGAAGATTAACTAAAATATTTGATATATAAACCAATTCTATTATCATATTGTGAGATTTCCATTAGAATAATATCATCCTATTGATTATACTGTGTCAATAGATAAGATTTTTGTTTTCTAGAGCAATATTATACCAATTTCGAATGTAATTCTAGTATAACTATGTAGATAATTTACTTTTAAAAACCTTAATGTTATAAAACATTAAATTTTCAAATTGAGTGACATCTGACATACAACATATGAACTTTATATGATCAAATCTTTAGAAACAAAGACATTCATTATAATATCAAATATATTTTAATATTTCTTTTTCTTGCCTCATATGTATAATTTTTATTAGATGAAAATAAAACGTCTATTATTCTTCTTTTTCTTCATAGTCACTGATAATATACAATTTCGATGTCGAGCATCATCATAGTATATATATAGAACCTTTTGTTTTTAGTGATTAGTATTCATTTAAGAGTTTGCACTTTTTTTTGTATTTGATTTATATATCTATAGACACATTTATATTCAAGTCTAAAAATAGAACAAGAAGTTTTTTTTTTGACTTTTTATTACTCTTCAAGATAATTGAACTTTTATGCTAACAAAAGCACTTATGTAAATCATGGTAAAAAGTTAAGCAATGAAGCACTACAATATAAAAGTCCTTGGTAAAATATATCAGAACTCAGTTGATATTGATTAAATTTTAATGAGTTGCTGAACAATTTGATGATTGAAGTATATTAGATTTTGTAAAATTAAGTTTATGAAAAAAAAAAGTGAAGGAAAAGAACGTAAGTCTTCCGATCAAGCGGTTTGAATGTATAATTTTTCATTTCATTCATTCATGATGAGTGTACTTCTTTTCTTCTCTTTTTTTTTCTTATTTCATCATGTACTACTTTATATTAAATCTAAATATTGAAAAAATTAAAATATTTTTATCCTTCATTCAATGTTGTTCTCTGAATTTCTCTATATTCTCGTACATGTACTGATGAAATATATGAAGTACTAAATCCATAGATTGATTTGTCATGATAAAATATTGATCTATCTATGTTTAAGAGTGTAAAAAAAACTTAATACTGTACACTATTAAAGATCATTCATAAAGAATGGATGTTGGGAGAGAGGAATGAGTTAAACATAGACAGATTCGCAATAGAAAGGGACAGATTGAATCAAATTGAGTTGTAGAAATGGTATTGAGCTATTGAATCTGCGGATATGCAGCATCTTACACTAAAAATTAGCTGAAAGAGAGAACTAGAGCAATATCTGTTTGAAATAGTTAGAACTGGATAAAATTAAAAATAGTATGTGTGTCTGATCTCGGCATGTATTTCATTTTTTCATCCTATACGCCTAGTTAACGAAATGTATTTCAATAGAAAAAAAAGATTGTTGTAAAGAATAATTAAATTCTTTTTAAAAAGCTCTAAACATGAGCATTCATAAAATAAATGCTAGTATCTCAGTCGAATCTTATTGAATATGAATCATTGTTGTTTGCTCAATGTTGAAAAGAAGTAAAATGATAGAAGAATGTTTTATCGAACATCCTGTATGAATATTCACTTACAAATAATTCAATACTATATAATATGCGTCTTGGAAAAAACACGAGTTATGCATGATTTTTTTTTTTATTGAGAGTTAAAGTTATAAGATACATTAAAAACAAGCAAAAGCATCTATTCTAAATTCATTCACTCACACACGCAAGCATAAATAATATTCATTAAGAATCTCCATCATCTGTTCCAGCATGTTGTTCACTGTCTTCATTTTGTTTTTCAGAACTATGGGTGTGGGTGTGGGTGTGGGTGTGGGTGTGGGTGTAGGTGTGGGTGTGGGTGTGGGTGTGGGTGTGGGTGTGGGGTGTGTGAGTGTGGGTGTGGGTGTGGGTGTGGGGTGTGTGAGTGTGGGTGTGGGTGTGGATTGGGTGTGAACTTAGATGGAGTGAAGATCGACACTCACACCCACCCACACCCACACCCACACCCACACCCACACCCACACCC